ATAGGTCTGAGATGATATAAAGACTATATTCAAAGAACATTTATCAGCGTTTTGTTTTTCTATTAGTATTTTATAGTCAGAGATCAATATCGATGGAATGATTATTTTATGATTGGACGTCTAACCGTGAGTCTCTGGTTTTAAATGAACTGTAACTTAAGAGACACTCTCAAAACAGGAAGGATGTCACAACATGCCAATGTGTCAATCTGTATTCAATCAGCGCTAGCCTAGGCTTGTATCGTGTTACACTTGAAGGTTCATCTGAATAAAGCACTCTAGAGTTGTGGCTACTGTTATAGTCATCTCGGTTCTGTCCTCGTGTACCGGTTCATAAGAAGCGATACAAAAGACCTAACAATGTTCAACAGTTAAACAAAGGTTCGTAAAGAAAGGAGTGCAATGGTTATTCCCTCTGTGTACCGGTACACCAGGACAGAACCCTCATCTTGCACTATATATATTGAAACACCACTTTTTATGATGGATTCAGTATATTGACATTGATTGACATGACCACTAACCACTCAATCTGAGGTTGAATGTCGATTTTAGCATTTTAATAACATGGGGATGAATTCAGTCTAGCTAAATGAAGGCGTTGAACGCACTTTTAATCACTGTTGGTCTTTTAAGCTTGCTGATAAAAACCTCTTTAAGTCTTTATGCATATTTAGGAACTAAAGCCGATTTTACCAACCTGGTCACGTAGGCAAAGGTTTCGTATCCCTTTCTAAATGGTTGCATCAGGAGACACAGTTTTCTGTGGCAGAGGACGAATGAGCCTATGTCAAATTTGACGACGCCATTTTCTTGTTCCATAACTTGGATCATTGAATAAGATTAGCATAATTTGTTTTCATCTTCGACAGTACTGCACATCCATACATACAAGTCTACACTCGTCGGCTAAACTCGTCTGCATTGGTGCCCAACTTTGTAACCACGCCGAAAAACGCGGGCCGACAACAATGTACGTGTCACCCCGGTCGTGAAATAGTCATCACATTTGCTAGGGATTTTTCTTATTTTTCTCACTTTGTATACTTTCGATTTCGGATGTAATTATCAACAAACGAGATCGTAAGGGACAAAAAGTTCAAAATTCGTATTTTTTCTTTTTAAAAAACAAATTGCAATAAAGTGTGAATGTTAACCCATCCTCTGTAAACCATTTGTAGTCGATTTTCTCCAGCTCGGGTCGTTCGAAAGGTGGATAACGATATTCTCCGGATAAATCACTATCCAGCGGGTAGCTTGGTTTGTTTTGTTAACACTTGTCCACCGGATAGCGATTTATCCGTTCATCCACCTTTCGAACAACTGGGGCCTGAACCTGAACGGTATTTGGCCATGCATTAGATGAAAATCGTCCAAGTGACATAAAAGAAAGGCTACATTTCAAATCCTCACTTTGATTATGAACACCTTAAAGTGAAAGAAGGACTCGCGTTTGGATCACACGCGCGACTGAACGAGTCAAACGGTCAATTACTGAAATCATACGTTCGAGGTACGGCATACTGATGACCACTGACGCGTCAGCTGAGTTCAGTGTTTATCCTAAGACCCTGTTTACAATGAGGTAGGGTAACCTTAGTGCTAGGGTTACTCTTGCAAGAAGATTACCCTAGCATTCACACATTTCTTTTTTTTTTCTTTTTTTTTTTTTTCATGGGCGTGTTTACAAGGCAGGTAGGGTTTCCCTGGCTCTAGGGTAACCTTAGCTGAACACTAGGATTACCCCGCTCCCCCAACTCCATTCTAAACCCTCTGCTAGGGACAACTCGCCTACCCGGGACAACTTTATCAGGGCTCCAAAAATCAAAATATGATAAAAAATACCGGCAAAAGAAACGAATTGTGACTGTAGAAAGATCGTATTAATTCACAATTTGCTTTAGTTTGGCAGTGGATAGAAAAAATTTCGAAAAAGGGCTTTTTGCGACGATAATAGCCTGCGTGGCAGGCCGTAGAAGGGGAGGGAAAGGGTGAAAATGAGCGCAGAGGATAGAGTACGCTTCGAAGAGGGACCCTACCCTCACGCGCTTCGCGCACTCGTTTTTCTTCTTTCCCTCCCCTTCGGACGCCCGCCACGCAGGCTACGAAGATAATATTTGCCGCTAATGTCGCTAGTATATTCAATCGTAGAATTGCTTATAGTTTTGCTGTCAAATTAATCCCAAATTAAAAAAGAATTACTGGGATTTTAAGTGAGCTAAGAAATTGAAATGATTTCGGCGGAACTGAGATCGAGAAACTACGTCATTCAAGTGAAAATAGGTTTTGACAATAAAATTATTATCGGTTGCGTGTGTTATTTACCAGGTTAACTAAGGAGAGACCGGTTTAACTTGTCCCGGGTAGTAGGGTACCCCTTCGTGAAAAAGTTTGCTTCTAAACGCGAGCTGTCTTTCACCCTCTGGCTAGGGAGCTACCTGTACCTGCTTGTAAACGGGGCCTAAGAATTCGATCATGAAAGTTTCATCATTTTCCACGAACCTAAGTACAAATATCCCTTAAGGTCGGCACACACGAGGGGACAAGTCCCTGCGACTAAACCCTGCAACAAGTCGCGGGGACAAGTCCCATTGTGTAAACCAGCCATTTTTGGCAAAAAATATAGTCGCAGGGACTAAAATTTGGTTCCTGCGACTTGTCCCTCAAAACACTTCGCGTGAACTGTTCGTGGGACAAGTCCCTGCGACCAAATTAAAATAAACCAAGCACGGATGCGTATGCTAAGCTCCCATATCTCCCTACGCGCTCTGTTTCAAGATGGTGCCTCACCGTTCGGCTCGCCGGAAGACGTGCGTTGATGTTGGAAAAGGAGTTTGGAGTGTTACTAGCACGAAAATTGTGAGAGAATTTTACGAAAAAAATAATTAACATCCCTGTTATCCGGAAATTGAGTAAAAAGGAGGCACCGGTTAATTAAGCTGAACAATTCTACATTTTTAATTAAAGCTTAATAATTTCGGATTAGCATTGATGTAAACGCTACAAAGGACTAGTCCATGCAACCAGTTCCCTCTTGTTGACTCTTCAAGGGACTTGTCGCAGGAATTAGTCCCGGGGACTTGTCCCCTCCTGTGCACCGACCTTTATACTTGGAAAATGAAAGACAGATCCATTTCCTTTCCTTGAAATGGCTCCTACAGGTCCTTGCAGTAGTCACGGAGTTCTCCTATGTTTTTTTTTTCGAAAAAACCGAAAAGTTCAACTCTGATATTTATTTTTTTTCCTCTGGCTTTCCGGTGAGTTACCATGGACAATTTTTCTATTGTGCGAGCTTAGAAAGTGAAAGGTATCTTTTATAATTAATAAGTTCAGTTTTCAGGGGAATATTGAGTATTTAGTAAGCTTCTAAGGTAATATCCAAAAAAAGCCCTGGAGGAGTATTTATTTGGTTGATCAAACCATCAGTTTAGTTGACCATTTTTAGTCATCTGTGAGATCAGGAGAAATCAAACAGACTCCCCGACTGAAATATGGCATCCCCAGAAGCAACTTGGGTCGACCTTATTGATGAGCGAACACCGCATTTAATGAAGGAGGTCGCACCAACAAAGCTGCTGCCTTACTTGAATCTATCAAACGGTGATAAAGAAAATATCAGATGCGATGAGACGAACAAAGGGAAAACAGAAGCCGCGCTGACTCTACTGGATAAACTCAAGAAGCAAAATGGACCAAACGGACGGAAGGCGTTTGATGGGCTTGTTAGAGCGCTTAGAAATGTGGGAAGTCAGCAGTCCGCATTGCTTCTCGACCCACACTTTAAAGGTAAGAACTTACATTACGAGTTCTTCAACGTGTGAATCGAAACGTCTCGACCAGACCATTTTGTATTCTGTGACGCCGTCGAGAGTTCATTTCTTCATTTATCAAATTGCTTGACCGTCCTGATCAGTTACATGTCTGTCTGACTAAAAATATAAATATATGTTGTAGTTTATTCTTACCCTTAATACAATTTCATATTTTCCTTTGTTCTGGTGTATGGCAATATTTATATCATGTCGTAGAAAATACAGCTAATCAGAATACAGGAAAGCCATTGTATATCCGACGGTGCAGTATAGAATTCCTAAAGTAACGGCCCCCGTTACTTTCGGATTTAGTAAGCAAAAGGGGCCGCTACTTTCGGATACCCTTTACTTAATTCGGGCCTGCTTTCGAGTAGCCGTTACTTTCGGATGGTTAGAAAATGTTTATATGGTAATTCACATTCATTTCAGACAAATCGGACGGGTAACATGAAATTAACAGTTGCGTTTATGTATGTTACTAACTACCCACATAAACAAAGCAGATTGTATAAACAAACAAGACCCTAAATGTTGGCACTGTAGGGCGATAGTGTAATGAACGCATTGTATCGCAATGCACTAATTACACTGTATCATTTGACACTGCTACCAGACAAATACAGCTTATAAATCATAGTTTCAGAAACATTCAGTTAAGTCAGAAATCAAATCACAAATAACTCTTCAAGTTGTTCAGTCAAGCAGTCAAGCTGGTTCACCCGCATTGCGCTCGATATCAGAGAGTTTCTGACTTCTTCAAAGGGCCGCTATTTTCGGGGGGACTGTTACTTTCGGGGTTTATCGTCAGTAAAATACTGTAAATAAACTGACCCCTCCTCCGTTAAGCGGCCGCGGCCACCTTGTGGTCGTCTCGATGAGGCTTTTTCTGGCCGCCCAAAATTTAGTGCATTTAACTTAACCTTGTTTTGGAAAAGGCAATGGCGGATAAGAGTCCAAACTAGAATGTTATAACATATAACATTTATGATTTGATATGTGGCTTCAACTCAACCATATAAAAATTAACAGCTAAGTCAGTCTTTTTATTCCCTTTTCTCTCTGATCTTACTGTTGTACTTTTCTGCTTGGGATGGGTTTTGGGATTTTAGGAGTCGTAAAATGAAGCGTGTACTTAGTGCAAAAGAACGCACTTTTCTTTAACCATGTTGTCATATATCTATGCATATATAGAATAGTATTGATCCTTAATCGTACCTTGCTGGTAAGTTTCGGCAGTATTTTTTTCCACTCCCCATAAATTAAAACCGGCAAACGGAGACATTTCAGGGGCCTTTTCGTCGTTTTAGGAGTGCTTCACTCGAGGAGACGGTTAAAATTCATACTATGACAGACTATGCAAGTAATTTTACACGAGGAATACTAAGGATGTCTTTTGAGACTGAAACAAAATATTGAATTGAAAGACGATAACATAATGTAAGAACGTTATTTTTCAGTTCCTTCAGCAACAGAAGATATCCAAGATAAAAATAGCTACCGACTTGGAATTTTGGGTACGGCAGCAGGTACGTTTATAAATAAACAGCTTGTAACAATAATGAAACTTAAACCCGCGCGGTGAAATTTAGAGTGCATTACGTCGAAACGATAGAAAACAGTTTTATGAAGCAGCACTAGCCAAATAGCAGCAACACACCCTATTTACTGGCAAACCAGAAGAAACAACTGCTAGCACTTTTACTTTGGAAAATGTTCAATGTGGGAATCGTTAAATTTCATTGGCTTTTCCATTTAATTCGATCACACTGATTTGTTGACTTCTCAACCAACAACAAATAATATTATTCCGTCCGTATCTAGCCAGAGTTCAAATAATCCGAAATCAAAAGAAAACAGTTCTGTAGCCAGAAAATCTGGAAAAACTGCAACCCAATAACTCTCTACTTACTGGAAAAAAGTCTTAAACGGGCGACAAATAGATCGCACGTTTCTGTATTTGAATATTCATATGTCAATGTGGTAAATAATTTAAGTCCCCATGCTTACATCCTACTTCGTGCAGTAGGAATCCTTTGCAAATCTTCGCGGCTGTCACCACGAAAAGACCTGGGAGCAACTGCTGAATTCCCTGCCACATACCCTGCGTGATTTCCCCAGTGAACCAATCACAATTCTTTGCTACGCATAGCAACCAATCAGTTTGCTCCATTTTGTATAGACAATGAATGACGTCAAATTCCCATTTTCGTGTTTTTCAAAGTTGAAAGATTTTGAAATAAAAAGGCTTTTTGTACAGTTTGTTTCTTTATTATATTAAACAATAGGATTATGAGCTCGAGATTTCTATCACACATAGAAATCGAGAGGGAATAATCCAATTGTTTTAGTATAAATCTACTAGTCGTTCAAAACTTTATCTAAATCCTCTTCACAGACACTTCGAAAACGTAAAGAAGCGGGCCGTCATTTTGTTAACAAGGGCACACTGCTACGCTACTGACTATCTATCACAGAATAGATAGTGAGTAGCGTAGCAAATCAGAGAACGGCGTTCACGATAGAACGTTAGTTGATTTATAATAAAAAACAAATAGATTCCATGTTGCCGTGCGTCTGGTCAGTAATAGATCACAGAGGACGTCAGAATGTGGTAAGAACATCTGTGACATACTCAGCTATCGTCTTGAGTGCCACTTTTTTGTTCTTACCGCATTTTGACGTCATCTGTGATCTATTAATAAACAATTAGATTATTCGCTCTCGATTTCTATTGCGTGCTGCGCCTTCGTCAACCATCACGTATAGAAATCGAGAGCAAATATCCTAATTGTTTTATCTAATTCAACTTCAAAGACACCTCGAAAATGAATAGATAGTGAGTATAGCGCAGCCAATCAGAGAACGCTAGTATATTTATACTAATACTGAACAGACGCACGACAACATGGAATCTATTTGTTTTAAAACTGAAAAGGGGTGGCTCGTGGTACGCAGTCACAAATATCTTTGGCTCGACCTATCTTTTTTGCTGGCCACGCGGTACGCAGTGAGTAATGAATGTATCAATTTAAGGATTGCAATGATTTCTATTTGGAAAAAGGAATTAACAAATTCATTTAGTGTTTGTTACAATTGTTAGGACCTAATTCGTAGGAACCGGATTTCATAGTGGAATTAATGAATGTTCAAGTTAAGGCTTACAAAATTTAAGTTAAAATGTTACGTTGAATGTGAAATGTTGGTGGCCTCATTTCTTTTAGAACTAGGAATATACACATGTACTTAGTTTATTCCCTTGGTGTCCTAAGGAGTTCGCTTTCGTGTTGGTTTGCAATCGCGATTTGTGTTCCCTTAATACAAATGTTTGTGGAAACAACGGAGAGTCATTAATTTATTTCCCTTGGGCGCTTTCCATTAGACCAAACCTTCCGAAATTGTCGAAACGGGGGCAAATGGTACGGAAATTTCCCGGGAAAGGTCCCAGAAAATCCGGAAATTGTTGAATTTCCGAAAAGCGAACCATTCAACCCAAAATTCTGGAAATTCCGGGATGAAAATCAAATGGAACGGAAATTTCCCGGAAAATATGTTCGAAAATTTGGGTATACCTCACGAGGTTGTCCTTTTTTCGGAAATTATGCAAATTCTCGATTTTCTATTCAATGCTAGTTCTTATGGCCGCGATCACAGCGAGTGGGATATCTCACGCAAGGATGACGGCGACGCGTATTCGAAAGTGGAAATACTTTAGAATCATTCCCCTTATATGTCGATAAATACTAGCTGCAGCTAAATTCGTGAAGAAAACATTTTATAAAAATAATGCTCCCGTAGTGTACTTGCTTGTTTTGCGTAGGCTGGCTAGGAAATGTACAAAGATTTATAACGCGTGCAGAACCATTGTACGACTCATTAAACCCTTTGTTTTGCGACTTTTTCGCTCCGTTGTGGTTTGTATAAGGCCCCTGCTGTTGTGGTCTATAAAAAGTCACGATGTCGACATATTAGTGTTCTGTTTGCTTCTATATTTGCGATTTTAACCTCGAAATCATTGAAAATTCCAAGCGAGCAAAACTGTGCGGCTTGTCGTTTTCCACACTGGAAAAGTCTGTACCATTCGCCCATGGAAATTTCCGGAAATTCTTACCGGAATTTTTGGTCGAATGGAAAGCGCCCCTTATTTTCCTTGAATAAATTTATACGTTCTAAGGGTCTCGTGCGCATTTGCTTTAGTTCTGGGCTCTGGAGCTTTCAGAACAAATAATGTACATTCTGTTTAGCGCTTTGTAGTTCTCACAGTTAAAGAACGAAAAATATACAGTCGATCTTGTACTAGTTCTGAATTCATTAGTTGTTATACTTATTTATCACGGCGTACCGTGCACCGCGTATCCAGCACAAAACACAGCTACGCCATTTTGAATTTATTTCTCAATTGAATAAATCTTAAATACTTAAACATGAATTGATTAGTTACCGCGTGACCACGAAGCTGGCTACGTGGAAATGAATTCAAATGACAGGGTATTCTGCAGTTTTGTGTTTTGTGAAGGAAGCTTTTGGAAGGAATCATGAAACTTGAAACGTTGCTTGATTCGATGTCTGGCCGAAGAGTCGGTTTAAACCTAACAAACAAACAAATAAAGGACTTAGTACACTATTTATTATGTCCCTGCCCCGTTTGCCCTTTTGCCATTGGTCAGTTGCCAGCTTAAACCCATCGGACTGAAACATTTGGAGTGTATTATACTGGTAAAACATGTGAATGAAATTATGATATTTCTTTAACAACCCCAGAAATTGGCGTAAGAATCCGTTTACTCAACGAAGAGACAAAGAAATACTGCGTAAAGGGAGAGAGAGACATCTTGAATAAATATGAAGATATCAGATCAGATAGCACGCTGCAACTTCGCGATCAACTGCATAAGGTACGTACAAGCTAATGGACTCCTGGTAAGTATTGATACTATAAAGAGGACGTGAGCCTAATGATAACGCTTGTTGAGGGTTTTAATTACTAAATAAAACCTCAAAGACTTCAAATAGTAGCACTTTTATATTTATGTGATAGGAAGTGCCAGACAGATAATCTTACCGAGTTATTGTTCCCGGTTGGCGAAATCTGCAGAACTGACTGGTTTCGCAAGGCATAGCGACAAGCGAGAGACCTAAACAGATACAGACAAACTAATCTGAAAAAAGGGCTTCCTTGGGTCCATGTGATCTGCTGACAGAGCGAACTAGTCGTTCGATATGTCGTATCAGATGTTAAAATTTGGCTTCAATAATAGCCGCTTTTACAATTTTTTTTTTCAGTAAAACTCACTCTTTTTGGGAGTTTCAAAGATCGTTGATGGTTTCTATACTTAGGGTGACTGTAAACATAAGTATCTCGTTTAATGATATTTCTTTTCATCCAAGGATTTGCCCGAAGGCGCAGCCTTCTCCGCGGTATGTCAAGAAACCAAAGATAACTTACCAGCATGCAAGTTGCGCGTGTCTCTGAAGTCCGCTGCTGATCAGATATGGGAAGATTATAACAACGGAAAGCTGGTGGCAATTTTAAAGAAGAACTTGTTGAGCGGAATGACTGCCATTTCATCTCACTTAAGAATGCGTATTGACATTATGAAAGAGGAATACGACCGGGCGTGTTACATTTTGGCTGGTAAAACATATTTTTGTTTCTCTTTAATAGCATTGATTTAATCTATGGAGCATGTAACTACGGTTACATGCAGAAAGCCGGTGGTTGGTAAAAGGAGCCGGGTACGCCTCACCAGTATAAAAATAGATGAGTGGATTTTACCAATCGCAAGGAATTCAAAAGTCAAGGACGATTGCTGTTTTCTTCATTTTTGGTGCCAACTTTACTAGTGAAACTTGTATGCCTGAACAATGTTACGCGAAGATTTGGCATTATTAACCAAATAGCAGCGTTAAATGAGGAGGCTGATCGAGAGCTTAATACTCACTCTCTGGGCTCTAATTGGTCAGAAAGATGTTAAAGAATGTCTTGGCGCCGGCCTTAGATGAATATGTGCCAGCATTTTCATACAATTATTCAGCAGCACTAGGTGCTGTTATGATCTTTCCTGACTCGGCGATTTGTTTTTCAGGTGGTAATCAGACTCATTCATCAGACGAAACTCAGAAATTAAAAAAAGATCGCATTCCTCCAGGTACAGTTAAGCTAAGTACTCAGTACTCGTTCTGTAATTAGTATTAGTATACGGCCCTCTCTTCCCATTTCGTTCTCGATTACCATTGTTATTATACATTGAACTCACTATCTCTTTTCTGATTGGCCGAAAGCGTACAGTGAATTTTCGAAATCTGCGCCTGTGACGTCATCTAGCTACAGATTGTACAATAATCATGTCAAGGACACTCAAGGTCACTGGTAATAATGTCATGTAGGACCGCGCCGCATGATTTCTAAGGGTAATCATAACAAGTTTGGTCACAATTACAGGGGAGAGACAATACAGGAAGTCCATCGAAACTTGAGCAAATTAATGTACTGTATATTATTTTCACAGACACTATAAAGAAACTCGACCAGTGTTAATTAATGTCTGTAAACAGTAAACACTCGTACTATTACCCTTCAATGTGCTCATTACCCTTGAAACGAAAATCATTTTGATGCTTGGAAGAAAAGTTTCGTATTTGTTTCAAAAACACACATAGTCTTTCCTGTTTTCGTTCGCCATTCGTGACATATCATTATGGAAACAGTAGTTGTTTGGCTGGTTATTGGTTTGTAGTAAAATAAAATCTGGCATAATCATGTTGGCAGGAAACGTTGTGATGTTTGATCATATACACTCTTTTCTTGCAGTGTTTCTTGACCAAAGAGCAGATCCAGAGCTTAAACTCCGTTCATACCAACATGAACTTTCGTGTCCTGCATTGGAAGGCAAAAACTCCATAATTTGTGCGCCAACGAACAGCGGGAAGACGTACGTAGCCCTTGGCATAGCTAAAGCACATCTGGAAAAGCAGAAGGAAATAGGGAGCAAGCGTCCCACGGAGGTTTCTCACCCAAAGGTGTTGTTCGTTGTAAACAAAGTTAATCTGGTTTTACAACAGAGGCAGCGGTTTGATTACTACTTGTCCAACAGGTACTTCACACTGTCTTGTGTTTTTTTTATTATAAAATCGAATAATGAAGCAGCGTCATAACAGCGGAGAAAGTAGCTCTCAAGTGGAGTGCTTTTCTTGAAGGAATTCAAATCCTCTTTAAAATGAAGTTATTATTTGTGACACCATTCTGCGCGCACAAAGCGCAACCCAAGAATAAACCAATTTATGCACAAAAGTAAAGCTTTATTATAACACAAGTAAAAAAGCCTTAAACGCGCTTGGTTCTGTTTGAAAGCACACTATAGAGTCGAGACCACTTGATATTAGGGAAAAACACTTGCTTTTTAGCCGTGTTTCACAATTCTTTTCGTGTTTTCGTGACTTTCTTGCGTGCTTTATGACAGAACGCTGTACGGCCAAGACTTTTAATATATAGATTTAGGCCAGCCTAAAGGCGTAGCTCCTGGGTCGGGTTATTCAGAGCCCGAGTAAGCTAACCCAGGAAAAGAGAGAATTTTGATTTGAGTTTTGTAACTTTGCGGTGAGGTTCTCTGTATATTGTTTGGCCTTCTGTTTTGAGTTTTATAATCACAAAATACACAAAATAAAAGCAGTGAAAAACATTTGTATAAAAGAAAAAGTTATAATTCGGTTAACTTTTAATCCTGGGTTAGCGTTAACCGGCTTCCGAAAAACCCGGCCCTATTTTCAACAAGTAAACCTGACATGAGCTTTAAACTTGAGACCGCGATATGGTCACGTGATACTGGTCAGCAGTCGGTCGGTCGGTCAGCCAAGTAACTAAACAAACAACCACCCAACAACCTGTAGTAAGTCAAAGTTGATCATTCGGTCTTCGTCTAGGCGACCGTCGACGTCTAGGCTCAATTTTCAGCCGTTTTGGGAGTCCGGCTGTTTACGCGGGCTCACAAAATGGCTGGAAATCGAGCCTAGTCTTCGTCATGATTAATTAAAGTCCAAAATTAATAAAGCATACGTTTATTTTACAGCTATGATATTACAGACATATCAGGAGCCAATGCCCAAGAAAAACTACTCGATGAGATAATCCAAGAAAATGACGTCATTGTCTTGACCGCCCAGATTCTGGTGGATGCTCTGAAGTCCAGAAGGGTCGCCATAAACGACTTCTCTTTACTGATATTTGATGAATGCCATCACACTGATAAAGGCCATCCCTACAATGACATCATGCTGAACTATTTGGAAATTAAATTTCCTTTTCGAGGTGGTCGAAATAAGGCAGTAAAGGAAAGGCTGCCGCAGATCATTGGGCTGACGGCTTCGCTGGGAGTTGGAAAAGCTCGCAATAAGAATGAAGCCCAGGAACACATTCTTCAGTTGTGTGCAAACCTTGACTGTTCCGTAATTGTTACTGTAGAGAAATACAAGAAGGATCTGAAAGGTTGGTTCCTTTGCTATATGGAGAAAACTGAGCAACTGAGCAATAAATTTATATTCTATCTTTATTAAGCACAATATCATGGGCAAAGATCTTTGAAAGACTTTTTCGATAAAAATACTCCAGTGGATGCAGAATCTTGATCTCATTTTTAATGTATATTCTGTGTTGTATAACTTTTTATTCAAAGGTATGACCGGAAGGTGCGAACGTATTTGTCACGAAATCCCGGATGGTGAAGCGGATTACTTTGATGAGATCGTACGAAACGTTATGATTACAATTGAGGGAATGATGCCACAGTTACCTGCCGGCCGCAATGGGCGGCCTCAGATGAACCACGGAAGTCAGCAATACCAGCAATGGCTGAAGGAACTGGAACGGAGTTCAGTAGCCCTCAAGAGCCGTGACCAGTTTACCTTGGTACAACACTTGATGGTGTATAATACTGCCTTATCCATTAAGAAAAGCTGCCGAGTCAAGGACGCCCTAAAATACGTCACGGAATTTCATGACAGGCAGAGTGAAAACAAGTTTAAGGATATTGATCGAAAGTTAAGGATGCTCTACGAGAAGGTACGCCGTAAGATGGTGGGAGGCTTGATCTGGTTGCTCTGTTCGATTTGCCAACTAATTTACCGTGTTAGTTGTGTTTGCGAAGCCGACCTTTCGAAAGTTATCCCCTGAGGCTCAACCCTACCTTCGCTTTCAGTTGAAAAATAGTAAGCGTTTCACTTGCCCGAGGAAGCAGCACATCAGGACCTCATTTTAGAAATTAAGCTTTGCTCATTTTTTAGAGAGACACGTATTCGTGTGGTATGAGAGTCTTTTTGCCGTCCTTCCACATACCAAATGAAATAAAGATTGAACTTCGCAGTGGTCATCCCAATAAACCCCAATATGCAACGTCACAGTCGATATATAGTTCTATATTTCGTGGTGTTTTCTTTGTATCCAAGTCTCTTTGGGAACTGAGGGACAAAAGAAACTTGAAAAGTTTGCAATATTGTCCTGAAAGCCTCGGAGCCATGTTAGAATATTGATGCAGCGCACGTGACTCATTCAAGTAATTGCAAATTTAGCCCGAAACAAGATTTCGGGGCGTTGTTGTTGTTGTTGTTGTTTCTTCAACGGGATTCGAATCCGTAGCCTCTGCGTTAGCCATGCAGTGCTGTACAACTGAACTGAGCTATGAAGACACATTCATTGGGAGCAGGCCAATTGACTGAGTTCATCATGAGTTAGAACTCGTGAAAGGAACTGAAACGTAGAATGAATGTGAACTGCGGAAATCAAATGAAATGAAGATGTGACCATCCCAGTTGTCACATATATACCTCTTACTGACCGAGTTCGAGGTCCGTACTGTAAGTTATGGACTGAGCTTTTTCTCCTTCGATTTACGGCCCAAGCGCGAAGCGCGCGTGCCATAAATTAAGGGGAAAAAGCGAGGATCCGTTACTTACAGTACAGACTGAGAAGACGCTTTAAATTTCTAGCTTTAAATAATAGCTTTAAACTAATAGCTTTAAATCTTGGCGGGCTTTACAGTAGAATACGGCCCGTTATACCAATCACAGCGCTCGTAGTAACTGAGAGTTATAAAAATCTTAAACAGCCAAAAGTAAAAGAAAGGAACAGTAGAAACTCTAGGCAATAAACTGATTGGATATGGAAAGAAGTGAAGGACATGCATAATAGGCCTTTTTTGAAATCATTCCAGGCCAAGCAAGACCTTGATTCAGAGAGAAGAAAGAAAGGGGAACTCAAAAACCCTAAATTAGAGGCTGTTGCCCAATTGTTGAGAACAAAATACCAGGCATGCGTGGAGGAAGGAGGCCAACAAACAGCTAAAGGGATGCTCTTTACTCAGACACGGGAAAATACCAAGGCATTGAAGGCTTGGCTTGATGAGAATAGTGATCTAGCCTTTATCAGGGCTGAGCGCCTCGTTGGAACTGGCAAAGGAGAAGGTCTGTAGGCATTTTAACCCTTGTTCAGATCATCTGCAGACATTGCAGTGCCGGTGTTAAACGCCGGACTAAATATTAAAAGCTATCCTTCACCCAAACTTAAAAAAAATAACATTAAATATAAAACAAAACAAAACCGATATAATTACGAGCAGTACTTCTTTTTCATTAGTTCGTAGAGTAGTGGAGGATGTGTAATATTTTTCTCTTATTTATTTGATCCTCTTGGTCGACAAAAAAAAGAAAAGATGGACTTCTTGTAGGCTAACAAACCTTTATTGATTAATTGAAGATCTTCCTTTATTAGTGCATATTTGATGCTTTATTTAGTGGTCATTCCATGGTTGTCTTCGCTAATTTCCTCGCATATAGTCCAACTTAAACTACTAACTGCACCATAGTACACTGCCAATTAAATTTATAGAGCTACATTTAGCTTTTTTAACTTACAGTCGTAAATAATATATAGATTTAGCCAAGTCTAAAAGCGGAACTCCTGATCGTAATAATTAACCATAAAGGAAACCAGTACCTGGTCAGCAGTCAACTTGAAAAGCACGTGACTTCGATAAGTTCTAAACCTGAACTTGCGATATGGTCATGTGATACTGGTCAGCAGATACCTTGTTTCGACAGCAGTCAATGAACCATAACATGGATGTCCGATATCAAAGATGTACCTATGGTAATGGTGCTACTCTCTTACTTTTCAAGGTATTGGGCTTCGCATAGAAGCGTACGGACAGTCACGTGACAACGAAAATTTTTTAGATCGATGTCTTACCAAATTTTCTAAGGTATGGGGCTCCGCTTGGAAGCCCTTCGGGCTGCAGGAGCTCCGCTATGAATAATGACTTGAATGTTCCTTATTAGGATTAAACGCAAACAGCTGCACTCTCTATTAACTGTACACTTGTTTCTTCTTTACAGATGGAATGACCCAGTGCCAACAAGAGGAGGTCATCGCTAGTTTCCGTAGTGGTCGAATAAATCTGCTAGTTTCTACTACAGTTGGCGAGGAAGGAATTGACATACCTGACTGCAAATACGTCATTCGTTATGACGTCAGAGGCAATGAGATAGCCAGCGTTCAGTCCCGTGGGCGTGTTCGTGACAAGGAGGGACAGTATGAAGTGGTGGCAGGAAAAGAGACTGGTGTTATCGAGAAGGAGAATCTAAATGTGATCAGAGAGGAGATGATGGAGGAAGCTATAGGCGAGGTCAAGGCTATGGATGGAGATCAGTACAATCGCAAGGTATGATAAAAAAATTAATGAAGAAAAAGCTTCTGATGCTTCGAGTTTAAGCCATTCATCAGCGCAGACAGGAGAAATTAGGGTCATGTGTGCGTCAGTATAAATGGAGTCACTTATTTTGGGTAAACGAATTAATTAAATCACAAGCGTTTGCGTTACTTTATGAAAAACAAATTCCCTTTCTGAAGAATTTCTGCTTTCATAGTTGCCTTAAGGTGGCTCAAAACAGTTTCCAGCACTTTTCCAGACGTACATTTTGATGGATCAATATTACCACTCTTCATCAGTTGATGCTGCAATCATGGTATCAAAAAACTGCCCAATTGTTGGTGATGACGTTGGTATCATTTTCGTGACACTATTATGTTTCCATAGCAACATTATTGCCTGCTAAAAACACCCTTAAGTTTAGCTTTCAGTACTTATATTTCAAAAACGGCGTAGTGCAACCCTTTTTTACAACGAATTTTGATAAGCAGGATAAGATGCAACTTCACTTATTGGCCGATAAGTGGCTTTCAGCATCTGATGAAAGAAAGAATGCAGAAATGGGTTCTATACGGTGTTTCTATTATGCCAGTCTGTTCTGTCTTTTCTCTCCCAATCACACCGCTGTTCGTAACCTATTTATTTAATTATTTACTCTTTTTTGTAAGTTTTTAGCCAGTGCATGTCTTTGCTCATACATGTAGTGGCTCTATCAATTCCAAGCCCGCTCATCTCTCATACCCCCGGGCATTTGACGGGCATGTGACATTTTTAAAATTTTGCTTTCAGAAGGTGGCAGATGCCCCACCGTGGAACAGCTGATGCATACTAAATCTCCATGGCGGGGCCACGAGAAAAGTGCAAATGCCCCACCCATGGGATAGGGTAAAAGTTATAGTTTTGCGATATTGCCCTGTACTTGCGATCGCTAATATAACTCGGGAAAAAGCATCTTCTCTTTGGTGAATAGCTTGTATAAGTTTAATTTTGATTGCTACTCATGAAGTCAACTTTATGGCATGGTATTGTATAAAGCGTATTGAAATTGATCCAAACATTTTCAAAAGTAATGCACACCGATCTCCGCAAAGACAAAGACACACTCGCAAAGACCATGTTTGCAGAGAAAACTCATTGAAAGAAGGCTTATCCCATCAAACAAAAATATTATTTGTTTTTGTTATAAAAATGCTAATAACTTACCTCTGAAGGTTTTTATTAAACTTTCCAGGCCCTTTTCTCTTTTTCAACGACTCTCATCATACTTGCTTCTCGCCTCAATTCTCTCGCATAGGCGGGAAGACAAAGATGAACTTTTTGGGACGATGGTAGGGCACGATCTAATTTCCAGTAGGTTAAATCACAGAAAAAGAATTTATATCTACGTTTTTTACGTAGGGTTAATCCTCTTGATATTTAATAAAGCGGGCTTTTGTTTCTAAAAGTACCGATTTATAATTCTAAATTGTCAAATGCCCCACCTCGGGCAGACCTTTTGCAATCAAATGACTACAACCTGTCAAATGCACGTCAAATGCCCCCCGGGGGAGGATGGGCCGGTCTGGAATTGACAGAGCCATAACAATGGTCACTCTAATTGTAGCGGCAATGGTGATGCGCAAAATGTTAATAATACGACTTTTTTTCACCGGCATAAGCACTCTTGATGAGCATGTCATGTTCAAATATTGTTTTAAAAAACAAACAAACAAAAACAATATAAAGCCTATCTTCGCCGGCTCGTAAAGATTGCCTGGGTGATTGACTTGTTTCTTTCCTTTCTTAAAACCAGCAATGTATAACTATTCTCGCTATTTCTAAAGATTTTAGATCTTCAGTTGCGAGCCGTCCATCAGCGTCAAAGAAAAGAGACTTCCAAAAAGTGCGAGAAAGATAAGAGACAACACGACAAGGTGAAGTTGTTTTGCCGTAAGTGCCAGGTGTTCGCGTGCAGTGGAAATGACATCAGGTGTATAAAGGAAGCCCATCACGTGGTCATTGATAAAGACTTCACGTCCAAATTTCATTTCAAGAAAAGCAAGAGTCCCAGAGTGTTGAATGAAATTGAACTGACAGGTATGTCAACTTTGTCCTGGGAGCCACTTAGGGTGGCTCAAAACAGTTTCCAAGACTAAGCTTTTGATGGGTTATTATAACTGCTCTTTGTCAATTGTTGCTTTAACCATGCTATCAAATATCTGCCATTTATTGGTGAACATGTTGATATCATTTTCTTGACACAATATAAATATTTTGGAATATTCAAAGTGGCTCTGGACCCCATGTACAGAATGTTTTACCGTCGACTTTGCCAAAAGTTGCGTCTTATTTTGTTAATTAAAATTCGATGATAAAAAATGGGTTTCATCTAGCCGTTTTTGAATTATAAGCACTAAGAACTAAAATTAAGGGTGTTAGCAGAATATACTGTTGCTATGGTAACGTATTGTGTCACGAAAAAGATACCAACGTGTTAACCATTGAATAAGAGTTTTTTGATTCCATGACAGCAACAGCAACATTTACTTATACCAAAAAAAGGAAAAAAGAAAACAATAATTTCGAAGCTTACAAATTAGGCATTAGCTGCCTATAAGAGCCATAGGGTTACAAAAATAAGCAGCTATCTATAGGATACAATAAAAATTACCGTCATATGTGTTAAATATAAAGCAAAAGTAACTTAATAAATTGAGATATAAACATATACAACAAAGTTAAAAGCTAATATTACAACAAGGCATGATTGTAGCATCAACTGATAAAGAGCGGTCGTAAAGGCCATCAAATCCATTTAAGTCTTGAAAAGTGCTGGAAACAGTTTGGAGCCACCTTAAGTAGTGGGAACACAAACAAACTCAACATGTGACTTCTTGTCATCTTTTTAATCAGGGCCTTTGCACTGCCTGGATTGCGATGCGGAGTGGGGTGTGATGCTGAAGTATCAGTCCAAGGAAATGCCTTGTATCAAAGCTTCCTGCTTTGGATTTGAGTTTGAGAATGAGGCTGGCGTGAAAACGACACTCTCCTTCAAGAAGTGGAAAGATGTGCGAATGAATGTTGAAAGCTTCGAGCACTGCCAAACACAAGTTTTAGATTGTTTCTTGGACTTAGCTGAGCTGTGCTTAGATTAGTTATCTGCGGTCTGTAGTTATTTAGCTAGCAGCAATGACAATTATTATTGCAATATACAAATATAAACAAAGCAAGATAGGCTGACGCAGCGTTGTGTGCGCACATGCACCAAGAGGATTTAAAGTAAGGTAGAAATAACAGCCGCGTAATTGATGTCGGCAATAAAAGTTTAGTTTACGTACAATTATTAAAGTTTGCTCAGAAGGGAGGGGGCGTCTCTAAGCAAGACATTGGTCGAGTCATCACTGCCAGTGTGCATGGGAATTAGTGTGGCCTCTCACTACTTAACTAATAGCCTTATCTTGGTGCCTTGTGTAGTCAATCACTGCACAGGACTTGATTCATCTTGCTCGTTCGTGGAGCTAGCCATGTAATAACAAGAGGAAAAATATGTATTACCAGACGTAAACGTATTGTGTGAACCGCGTCAGAATTACAACACGAGAACCAAAGGGCACATACCTAAAAATAAATTCTTTCTCTGAAATTAAGTAGCATTTGCGTTCGGATTCCTACAGGTAATAGTTATCTATTGTCAAGACCAGGTTGCAGGACATGCTATTTTGATAAACTTAAAACATTTTGGTAAGGATCGTTAGAATCAATAGTTACGGACAGTTGATATAGTCACATAGAAATGAGGAACGACAACAAAATGGCATTTGTTAAAAGGTCCTTGCTGCAAGGGTGCAACAATGTATTTAAAAAACCAGAACTTTGAACTTTATGCAAATGTAAAAAATAATCTTTAATGTAAAAATAAAATGTGTGGCTGAAGATCATTAAAATGGAACAAGTCTTTACTTGTTTTCGGCTATTCATGTTCATTTCTCAGCTTCAAATTATAACCGAGCCAATTTCTGTCAAGTTTGATTTTTTCTTCTTGATGGTTTGTTTGGCCTTCTGTTTTGAGTTTTATAATCACAAAATACACAAAATAAAAGCAGTGAAAAACATTTGTATAAAAGAAAAAGTTATAATTCGGTTAACTTTTAATCCTGGGTTAGCGTTAACCGGCTTCCGAAAAACCCGGCCCTATTTTCAACAAGTAAACCTGACATGAGCTTTAAACTTGAGACCGCGATATGGTCACGTGATACTGGTCAGCAGTCGGTCGGTCGGTCAGCCAAGTAACTAAACAAACAACCACCCAACAACCTGTAGTAAGTCAAAGTTGATCATTCGGTCTTCGTCTAGGCGACCGTCGACGTCTAGGCTCAATTTTCAGCCGTTTTGGGAGTCCGGCTGTTTACGCGGGCTCACAAAATGGCTGGAAATCGAGCCTAGTCTTCGTCATGATTAATTAAAGTCCAAAATTAATAAAGCATACGTTTATTTTACAGCTATGATATTACAGACATATCAGGAGCCAATGCCCAAGAAAAACTACTCGATGAGATAATCCAAGAAAATGACGTCATTGTCTTGACCGCCCAGATTCTGGTGGATGCTCTGAAGTCCAGAAGGGTCGCCATAAACGACTTCTCTTTACTGATATTTGATGAATGCCATCACACTGATAAAGGCCATCCCTACAATGACATCATGCTGAACTATTTGGAAATTAAATTTCCTTTTCGAGGTGGTCGAAATAAGGCAGTAAAGGAAAGGCTGCCGCAGATCATTGGGCTGACGGCTTCGCTGGGAGTTGGAAAAGCTCGCAATAAGAATGAAGCCCAGGAACACATTCTTCAGTTGTGTGCAAACCTTGACTGTTCCGTAATTGTTACTGTAGAGAAATACAAGAAGGATCTGAAAGGTTGGTTCCTTTGCTATATGGAGAAAACTGAGCAACTGAGCAATAAATTTATATTCTATCTTTATTAAGCACAATATCATGGGCAAAGATCTTTGAAAGACTTTTTCGATAAAAATACTCCAGTGGATGCAGAATCTTGATCTCATTTTTAATGTATATTCTGTGTTGTATAACTTTTTATTCAAAGGTATGACCGGAAGGTGCGAACGTATTTGTCACGAAATCCCGGATGGTGAAGCGGATTACTTTGATGAGATCGTACGAAACGTTATGATTACAATTGAGGGAATGATGCCACAGTTACCTGCCGGCCGCAATGGGCGGCCTCAGATGAACCACGGAAGTCAGCAATACCAGCAATGGCTGAAGGAACTGGAACGGAGTTCAGTAGCCCTCAAGAGCCGTGACCAGTTTACCTTGGTACAACACTTGATGGTGTATAATACTGCCTTATCCATTAAGAAAAGCTGCCGAGTCAAGGACGCCCTAAAATACGTCACGGAATTTCATGACAGGCAGAGTGAAAACAAGTTTAAGGATATTGATCGAAAGTTAAGGATGCTCTACGAGAAGGTACGCCGTAAGATGGTGGGAGGCTTGATCTGGTTGCTCTGTTCGATTTGCCAACTAATTTACCGTGTTAGTTGTGTTTGCGAAGCCGACCTTTCGAAAGTTATCCCCTGAGGCTCAACCCTACCTTCGCTTTCAGTTGAAAAATAGTAAGCGTTTCACTTGCCCGAGGAAGCAGCACATCAGGACCTCATTTTAGAAATTAAGCTTTGCTCATTTTTTAGAGAGACACGTATTCGTGTGGTATGAGAGTCTTTTTGCCGTCCTTCCACATACCAAATGAAATAAAGATTGAACTTCGCAGTGGTCATCCCAATAAACCCCAATATGCAACGTCACAGTCGATATATAGTTCTATATTTCGTGGTGTTTTCTTTGTATCCAAGTCTCTTTGGGAACTGAGGGACAAAAGAAACTTGAAAAGTTTGCAATATTGTCCTGAAAGCCTCGGAGCCATGTTAGAATATTGATGCAGCGCACGTGACTCATTCAAGTAATTGCAAATTTAGCCCGAAACAAGATTTCGGGGCGTTGTTGTTGTTGTTGTTGTTTCTTCAACGGGATTCGAATCCGTAGCCTCTGCGTTAGCCATGCAGTGCTGTACAACTGAACTGAGCTATGAAGACACATTCATTGGGAGCAGGCCAATTGACTGAGTTCATCATGAGTTAGAACTCGTGAAAGGAACTGAAACGTAGAATGAATGTGAACTGCGGAAATCAAATGAAATGAAGATGTGACCATCCCAGTTGTCACATATATACCTCTTACTGACCGAGTTCGAGGTCCGTACTGTAAGTTATGGACTGAGCTTTTTCTCCTTCGATTTACGGCCCAAGCGCGAAGCGCGCGTGCCATAAATTAAGGGGAAAAAGCGAGGATCCGTTACTTACAGTACAGACTGAGAAGACGCTTTAAATTTCTAGCTTTAAATAATAGCTTTAAACTAATAGCTTTAAATCTTGGCGGGCTTTACAGTAGAATACGGCCCGTTATACCAATCACAGCGCTCGTAGTAACTGAGAGTTATAAAAATCTTAAACAGCCAAAAGTAAAAGAAAGGAACAGTAGAAACTCTAGGCAATAAACTGATTGGATATGGAAAGAAGTGAAGGACATGCATAATAGGCCTTTTTTGAAATCATTCCAGGCCAAGCAAGACCTTGATTCAGAGAGAAGAAAGAAAGGGGAACTCAAAAACCCTAAATTAGAGGCTGTTGCCCAATTGTTGAGAACAAAATACCAGGCATGCGTGGAGGAAGGAGGCCAACAAACAGCTAAAGGGATGCTCTTTACTCAGACACGGGAAAATACCAAGGCATTGAAGGCTTGGCTTGATGAGAATAGTGATCTAGCCTTTATCAGGGCTGAGCGCCTCGTTGGAACTGGCAAAGGAGAAGGTCTGTAGGCATTTTAACCCTTGTTCAGATCATCTGCAGACATTGCAGTGCCGGTGTTAAACGCCGGACTAAATATTAAAAGCTATCCTTCACCCAAACTTAAAAAAAATAACATTAAATATAAAACAAAACAAAACCGATATAATTACGAGCAGTACTTCTTTTTCATTAGTTCGTAGAGTAGTGGAGGATGTGTAATATTTTTCTCTTATTTATTTGATCCTCTTGGTCGACAAAAAAAAGAAAAGATGGACTTCTTGTAGGCTAACAAACCTTTATTGATTAATTGAAGATCTTCCTTTATTAGTGCATATTTGATGCTTTATTTAGTGGTCATTCCATGGTTGTCTTCGCTAATTTCCTCGCATATAGTCCAACTTAAACTACTAACTGCACCATAGTACACTGCCAATTAAATTTATAGAGCTACATTTAGCTTTTTTAACTTACAGTCGTAAATAATATATAGATTTAGCCAAGTCTAAAAGCGGAACTCCTGATCGTAATAATTAACCATAAAGGAAACCAGTACCTGGTCAGCAGTCAACTTGAAAAGCACGTGACTTCGATAAGTTCTAAACCTGAACTTGCGATATGGTCATGTGATACTGGTCAGCAGATACCTTGTTTCGACAGCAGTCAATGAACCATAACATGGATGTCCGATATCAAAGATGTACCTATGGTAATGGTGCTACTCTCTTACTTTTCAAGGTATTGGGCTTCGCATAGAAGCGTACGGACAGTCACGTGACAACGAAAATTTTTTAGATCGATGTCTTACCAAATTTTCTAAGGTATGGGGCTCCGCTTGGAAGCCCTTCGGGCTGCAGGAGCTCCGCTATGAATAATGACTTGAATGTTCCTTATTAGGATTAAACGCAAACAGCTGCACTCTCTATTAACTGTACACTTGTTTCTTCTTTACAGATGGAATGACCCAGTGCCAACAAGAGGAGGTCATCGCTAGTTTCCGTAGTGGTCGAATAAATCTGCTAGTTTCTACTACAGTTGGCGAGGAAGGAATTGACATACCTGACTGCAAATACGTCATTCGTTATGACGTCAGAGGCAATGAGATAGCCAGCGTTCAGTCCCGTGGGCGTGTTCGTGACAAGGAGGGACAGTATGAAGTGGTGGCAGGAAAAGAGACTGGTGTTATCGAGAAGGAGAATCTAAATGTGATCAGAGAGGAGATGATGGAGGAAGCTATAGGCGAGGTCAAGGCTATGGATGGAGATCAGTACAATCGCAAGGTATGATAAAAAAATTAATGAAGAAAAAGCTTCTGATGCTTCGAGTTTAAGCCATTCATCAGCGCAGACAGGAGAAATTAGGGTCATGTGTGCGTCAGTATAAATGGAGTCACTTATTTTGGGTAAACGAATTAATTAAATCACAAGCGTTTGCGTTACTTTATGAAAAACAAATTCCCTTTCTGAAGAATTTCTGCTTTCATAGTTGCCTTAAGGTGGCTCAAAACAGTTTCCAGCACTTTTCCAGACGTACATTTTGATGGATCAATATTACCACTCTTCATCAGTTGATGCTGCAATCATGGTATCAAAAAACTGCCCAATTGTTGGTGATGACGTTGGTATCATTTTCGTGACACTATTATGTTTCCATAGCAACATTATTGCCTGCTAAAAACACCCTTAAGTTTAGCTTTCAGTACTTATATTTCAAAAACGGCGTAGTGCAACCCTTTTTTACAACGAATTTTGATAAGCAGGATAAGATGCAACTTCACTTATTGGCCGATAAGTGGCTTTCAGCATCTGATGAAAGAAAGAATGCAGAAATGGGTTCTATACGGTGTTTCTATTATGCCAGTCTGTTCTGTCTTTTCTCTCCCAATCACACCGCTGTTCGTAACCTATTTATTTAATTATTTACTCTTTTTTGTAAGTTTTTAGCCAGTGCATGTCTTTGCTCATACATGTAGTGGCTCTATCAATTCCAAGCCCGCTCATCTCTCATACCCCCGGGCATTTGACGGGCATGTGACATTTTTAAAATTTTGCTTTCAGAAGGTGGCAGATGCCCCACCGTGGAACAGCTGATGCATACTAAATCTCCATGGCGGGGCCACGAGAAAAGTGCAAATGCCCCACCCATGGGATAGGGTAAAAGTTATAGTTTTGCGATATTGCCCTGTACTTGCGATCGCTAATATAACTCGGGAAAAAGCATCTTCTCTTTGGTGAATAGCTTGTATAAGTTTAATTTTGATTGCTACTCATGAAGTCAACTTTATGGCATGGTATTGTATAAAGCGTATTGAAATTGATCCAAACATTTTCAAAAGTAATGCACACCGATCTCCGCAAAGACAAAGACACACTCGCAAAGACCATGTTTGCAGAGAAAACTCATTGAAAGAAGGCTTATCCCATCAAACAAAAATATTATTTGTTTTTGTTATAAAAATGCTAATAACTTACCTCTGAAGGTTTTTATTAAACTTTCCAGGCCCTTTTCTCTTTTTCAACGACTCTCATCATACTTGCTTCTCGCCTCAATTCTCTCGCATAGGCGGGAAGACAAAGATGAACTTTTTGGGACGATGGTAGGGCACGATCTAATTTCCAGTAGGTTAAATCACAGAAAAAGAATTTATATCTACGTTTTTTACGTAGGGTTAATCCTCTTGATATTTAATAAAGCGGGCTTTTGTTTCTAAAAGTACCGATTTATAATTCTAAATTGTCAAATGCCCCACCTCGGGCAGACCTTTTGCAATCAAATGACTACAACCTGTCAAATGCACGTCAAATGCCCCCCGGGGGAGGATGGGCCGGTCTGGAATTGACAGAGCCATAACAATGGTCACTCTAATTGTAGCGGCAATGGTGATGCGCAAAATGTTAATAATACGACTTTTTTTCACCGGCATAAGCACTCTTGATGAGCATGTCATGTTCAAATATTGTTTTAAAAAACAAACAAACAAAAACAATATAAAGCCTATCTTCGCCGGCTCGTAAAGATTGCCTGGGTGATTGACTTGTTTCTTTCCTTTCTTAAAACCAGCAATGTATAACTATTCTCGCTATTTCTAAAGATTTTAGATCTTCAGTTGCGAGCCGTCCATCAGCGTCAAAGAAAAGAGACTTCCAAAAAGTGCGAGAAAGATAAGAGACAACACGACAAGGTGAAGTTGTTTTGCCGTAAGTGCCAGGTGTTCGCGTGCAGTGGAAATGACATCAGGTGTATAAAGGAAGCCCATCACGTGGTCATTGATAAAGACTTCACGTCCAAATTTCATTTCAAGAAAAGCAAGAGTCCCAGAGTGTTGAATGAAATTGAACTGACAGGTATGTCAACTTTGTCCTGGGAGCCACTTAGGGTGGCTCAAAACAGTTTCCAAGACTAAGCTTTTGATGGGTTATTATAACTGCTCTTTGTCAATTGTTGCTTTAACCATGCTATCAAATATCTGCCATTTATTGGTGAACATGTTGATATCATTTTCTTGACACAATATAAATATTTTGGAATATTCAAAGTGGCTCTGGACCCCATGTACAGAATGTTTTACCGTCGACTTTGCCAAAAGTTGCGTCTTATTTTGTTAATTAAAATTCGATGATAAAAAATGGGTTTCATCTAGCCGTTTTTGAATTATAAGCACTAAGAACTAAAATTAAGGGTGTTAGCAGAATATACTGTTGCTATGGTAACGTATTGTGTCACGAAAAAGATACCAACGTGTTAACCATTGAATAAGAGTTTTTTGATTCCATGACAGCAACAGCAACATTTACTTATACCAAAAAAAGGAAAAAAGAAAACAATAATTTCGAAGCTTACAAATTAGGCATTAGCTGCCTATAAGAGCCATAGGGTTACAAAAATAAGCAGCTATCTATAGGATACAATAAAAATTACCGTCATATGTGTTAAATATAAAGCAAAAGTAACTTAATAAATTGAGATATAAACATATACAACAAAGTTAAAAGCTAATATTACAACAAGGCATGATTGTAGCATCAACTGATAAAGAGCGGTCGTAAAGGCCATCAAATCCATTTAAGTCTTGAAAAGTGCTGGAAACAGTTTGGAGCCACCTTAAGTAGTGGGAACACAAACAAACTCAACATGTGACTTCTTGTCATCTTTTTAATCAGGGCCTTTGCACTGCCTGGATTGCGATGCGGAGTGGGGTGTGATGCTGAAGTATCAGTCCAAGGAAATGCCTTGTATCAAAGCTTCCTGCTTTGGATTTGAGTTTGAGAATGAGGCTGGCGTGAAAACGACACTCTCCTTCAAGAAGTGGAAAGATGTGCGAATGAATGTTGAAAGCTTCGAGCACTGCCAAACACAAGTTTTAGATTGTTTCTTGGACTTAGCTGAGCTGTGCTTAGATTAGTTATCTGCGGTCTGTAGTTATTTAGCTAGCAGCAATGACAATTATTATTGCAATATACAAATATAAACAAAGCAAGATAGGCTGACGCAGCGTTGTGTGCGCACATGCACCAAGAGGATTTAAAGTAAGGTAGAAATAACAGCCGCGTAATTGATGTCGGCAATAAAAGTTTAGTTTACGTACAATTATTAAAGTTTGCTCAGAAGGGAGGGGGCGTCTCTAAGCAAGACATTGGTCGAGTCATCACTGCCAGTGTGCATGGGAATTAGTGTGGCCTCTCACTACTTAACTAATAGCCTTATCTTGGTGCCTTGTGTAGTCAATCACTGCACAGGACTTGATTCATCTTGCTCGTTCGTGGAGCTAGCCATGTAATAACAAGAGGAAAAATATGTATTACCAGACGTAAACGTATTGTGTGAACCGCGTCAGAATTACAACACGAGAACCAAAGGGCACATACCTAAAAATAAATTCTTTCTCTGAAATTAAGTAGCATTTGCGTTCGGATTCCTACAGGTAATAGTTATCTATTGTCAAGACCAGGTTGCAGGACATGCTATTTTGATAAACTTAAAACATTTTGGTAAGGATCGTTAGAATCAATAGTTACGGACAGTTGATATAGTCACATAGAAATGAGGAACGACAACAAAATGGCATTTGTTAAAAGGTCCTTGCTGCAAGGGTGCAACAATGTATTTAAAAAACCAGAACTTTGAACTTTATGCAAATGTAAAAAATAATCTTTAATGTAAAAATAAAATGTGTGGCTGAAGATCATTAAAATGGAACAAGTCTTTACTTGTTTTCGGCTATTCATGTTCATTTCTCAGCTTCAAATTATAACCGAGCCAATTTCTGTCAAGTTTGATTTTTTCTTCTTGATGGCATTATACGAAATAAATTTCATGCTTGATCAGTATCGGTGAATACGGCCACATGCTTTTGTACACACTTTAATTTTTTTAAAAAACGTCGCTATGCAAATGAGTCTACCATTTAGTGGGGACGCCCATCCTCTGACAACGACCTTGCCTATATATACTTTACCAATTTTAATAATATCGAGGCTTCATGTGACACAGAGGTCAGTCACAGTGTTTTGTCTTTTTTTTGGCCACGTACAAAATCTCCTTTAAATAGAAGAAAACCTGAAAATAATAGTTTACTAAGTTAGAAAAACATCAAAGAGATGATAATAAACCATAAAGGAACAAGGATGGTCAAGATCGACACGGATTGCAAACGACGAATTTGAAAAATTTAGGCTAAACTTTTCAAAATGTGCAAACCGTGACTGAGCTCCTTTAATCAGAGAAGTAAGAGGTAATTTTAAGTAACGATCCGCGCAGGAGATATGCATCTGAAATGCAGGGCACGTGTGAAGGTCACAGCAATAAATGATTAATATTAATTAAAATCCTGGCCGTTGATTGGCTGTAGAGTCCGGCTAAATCGGGCTAAAAATGACGTTCGATTGTTTTAGTAATAAATTCGGTACCAGCACCTTCAACTTTGTGTAAAGCGAGTCTTGCGGCCATGGCATATGGGGAACTGGTTCTAAACGAACGTAAGAGATTTCTTACATGGGCCGCCATATTGGATCATCGCGTGATCGTGGGAAAGTATTCAGTCAGTTCTGATTAGAATTATTTACTAAAATTTCTACTTTTCCAATGTAAATTAGTTTGGGAAGTTTCAAGTTCTTTTTTTCTGAAAGACGAGAAATGTCTCCTAAGCCTTTTGGGGACCGCATGGGGACACTCAGATGACTCTCAGATGCCGCCGCACTCAGGATCGCCACAGGCGTTCAGCTGAATTTCGGCGAAGTAGATGACGCTGTCAAATGATGCTATCAACTAAAAGTGTAACCTGGGATCAGGCGGGGGAAGAGGAAAAAAGAACGCCTTATACATTTACTTCGTTAGTCGTGTGCCGCCCCTTCGCTGATTACCTGTCAACAGCGATGTAATCTTATGTCATGCTATAGAGCGGTTTTCAATTGAGTGTCGTAAAACCAAAACCAAACCAGTTACTTACCAATTAGACTACTCAGCCAATCTCAAACCGAAGTAAAACCAAAATAAAAACCAAATTAATTGTCTAATTACTTTCGACACTCAATTGAAAACCGCTCTATATATGTGAGCCAATCAGATTTTACAGGAAATTCATGCGGCTGGTTGGAAGCGCGTAAGCGACAGCGCAATTTCCCTGTTTACCTTCCAGGCAAGAGGAATAGCGAGTTGAAATGTCTCTTAATTCCCTTGAGAAACAAAAAATTCGGTGGAACATCAGAATCTTTTTTTATCGGAATTGATCAAAAGAGTATTACAACGTTTCCCGAAAGTATTGGAATGTTTCCCGATACGGGAAACACTCGTTACGCTACCTTGGACCCCTCTTACGGAGCAAACTAAACCCATCGGTTAGGGAGTCCAACACTGAACAGTTTTAAACATAAGATTAAGAAAAAAGAGCTAACTCTCCTTTTAGAAGACTGCAGAAATTGTGATTTATGTTTTTGACTTTATCAGAGGCTGGATTACCTTTTTAGGCTTAATTATATTAGGAATACACGTGTAATAAATTAGTTTTGATAAACTTTAAGATTTTTATCTTTAAGATCTTTTTACCTGTATTTGTGTAATAATACCCTGTATATATTTTTTAGTGTATCCACCTGAGATTCTGTTAGCATCCTCAATTAGCGTACACATGTAATAATTAGCCAGAATTTTTTACCTTTTAGATTTTTCTACTTGTATACGTGTAAATGTCCTAATTTTAATGTATCCACTTAAGATTTTATTAGTGTTCCCAATTAGTTTGTAAAAAGCTAAGCACCTCGACACTTAAATAAAGTCCCTCTACTAGTCCTACAAACAGATATACTCCTGGGGACCCCTCACAACTGCGTCAACGTCACGTTTTTGACACTTTTGAGATCAATTGGTAAATGACGCTCTTGCCAAATCACGTCGAAAGCATGGTTAAAACATAGTTTAAGCAGATGATCTTCTGGATGCATTCCATCGTGAATAGAATCTTGAAGAGACGAAGTTAAAGCCGCTGAAGATCACGGCCTCCGGGCTGAAAATTAGCTGTATACAAGTATATCAGTCTCCGCGGCCGCCAGGCTTCGTGCTTGAAATTGCACCGGAAGTCAGATATCCAACCGCGTAACGAATCAGAAAGGCGGGCTTAAAAACTCCTTTGTTTCACGACCAATCAGAAAAAAGCCCAGAGACTGGACGTGAAGTAATTGTATCAGGTATTCTGTTTTTCTCCTTCCCCTGCTGTTTTAACGCCTGATCGCAGGTTACGAAAAGTGTAAATTTTACATTTCGCAAGGTAAAGATTTTCATTTCGCAAAGTACAGATTGTTCGTTTCGCAAAGTACAGAGTTTTCGTTTTGCAAAGTACAGATTATTCATTTCCCAACGTGCAGATTTTTCATTTCGCAAAGTATGGATTTTTCATTTCGCAAAGTACAGATTCTCATTTTCTTTGGTTTTGTTTCACAAGGTACCATTTCGCAAAGGACAATAAGCCAAAAAGCTTAGTGTCATAAACTATGGTCTCGTTCCCTGAGCCGAGCGTAAACCAAGCGTTAGAGTTGTGATCTATAGAGTTCTACTGGATCGCTTGGCAGTTCTTAATCGACGTATGATAGTTTGCACTGGATGGGTTCCTTCGATTCCTTAAATTTCAGAAAAAAATCAGACTGCTGGTCATTTAGCCACAGCGAATTTGTTTTCTGCAGCGGTCGTGTGCATGAATTTTTTTCTGGTACAAGTAAAGTGGAAGCTCTCATAAGACACTCTCTTAAGGGGACAGCTCTACTTACGACCGCCTTCACAAAACTTCGTTTGAACTTCCACACAAACACTGTATTTACTCATTCCCGTAAGCGGCCGCGGACATTTTGAGGGCCGGCCGAGATTTGACTGGTCACCATTTCATGTCTTTTTAGCTTTCAGAAATCACTATGCTTAAAACAGTAAGCTATTTGTCTTCTTTTAAAAATGTAAAAGTTATTCATGTAGGAGTTATCTTTTCTCAAGTAAGCCCAGGCATTCCCCAACAGGTGGCAGATTTAATCAGCCGGTGTCAGGTTACAATACAGTTCTGAAGAACAACAACAACAAAAAAACAATTCATAGTCTTTGGTCTTTAAGCTTTCTAAAAATGTATACTTTGCCGTGGTTTGGAATTAAATCTAAACCATGATCGAAAAAAGTTTGAAAAAATGATGCGTTTTTAGGTTGACCTCTGCCTTAAAAGGTTGAAGCCGTTCATATGCAAAGATACAGCTATATTGCTAAGTGAAACCTGTATTAAGCGGATTCCATATTAAGCGGACACCCTCTATTAAGTGGAATCCAGCTTAACTCCCTAAATTTTCTTGCCAGAGGACAACTCAATAACTTCTAAATTCGCTCACATTTTAGATGTTTTTCTTTGTGTTTCACAAAATGCAAAGTAAAAAAAGTGTAAGCGAAGACAAAATAAGAGAAAGACAGAAAAACAAGAGCAATAGAAAGAGAAAAACTAACTCTGTTTGACTTTGTTTGATCTTACCGAAGTGTGCTGGAAGTGTAAATTGCGCACGCGCTGATAGGGTAACTTCCAATATATATCGGGCGCACTTCCGGTTTCTTTAAATGCTAAAGGAAACGCGGTTTTTTTCTTAAATCCAGCCTTTTTTGACGGATTTCGATGAAAACCAAAGTTGGAAACATAGCTATGCATTTCTTTTTCAAAATCATGCTTTTTCAGAAAATTACGAACTTTTTAATGTTTTGAAATTCTCTTAAAATCTGACCTTTTAGAAATGAAACAAAATCTATGCATAGCGTAATGAAGATTCAAATTAAAATATTAANCAAAGACAAAGACACACTCGCAAAGACCATGTTTGCAGAGAAAACTCATTGAAAGAAGGCTTATCCCATCAAACAAAAATATTATTTGTTTTTGTTATAAAAATGCTAATAACTTACCTCTGAAGGTTTTTATTAAACTTTCCAGGCCCTTTTCTCTTTTTCAACGACTCTCATCATACTTGCTTCTCGCCTCAATTCTCTCGCATAGGCGGGAAGACAAAGATGAACTTTTTGGGACGATGGTAGGGCACGATCTAATTTCCAGTAGGTTAAATCACAGAAAAAGAATTTATATCTACGTTTTTTACGTAGGGTTAATCCTCTTGATATTTAATAAAGCGGGCTTTTGTTTCTAAAAGTACCGATTTATAATTCTAAATTGTCAAATGCCCCACCTCGGGCAGACCTTTTGCAATCAAATGACTACAACCTGTCAAATGCACGTCAAATGCCCCCCGGGGGAGGATGGGCCGGTCTGGAATTGACAGAGCCATAACAATGGTCACTCTAATTGTAGCGGCAATGGTGATGCGCAAAATGTTAATAATACGACTTTTTTTCACCGGCATAAGCACTCTTGATGAGCATGTCATGTTCAAATATTGTTTTAAAAAACAAACAAACAAAAACAATATAAAGCCTATCTTCGCCGGCTCGTAAAGATTGCCTGGGTGATTGACTTGTTTCTTTCCTTTCTTAAAACCAGCAATGTATAACTATTCTCGCTATTTCTAAAGATTTTAGATCTTCAGTTGCGAGCCGTCCATCAGCGTCAAAGAAAAGAGACTTCCAAAAAGTGCGAGAAAGATAAGAGACAACACGACAAGGTGAAGTTGTTTTGCCGTAAGTGCCAGGTGTTCGCGTGCAGTGGAAATGACATCAGGTGTATAAAGGAAGCCCATCACGTGGTCATTGATAAAGACTTCACGTCCAAATTTCATTTCAAGAAAAGCAAGAGTCCCAGAGTGTTGAATGAAATTGAACTGACAGGTATGTCAACTTTGTCCTGGGAGCCACTTAGGGTGGCTCAAAACAGTTTCCAAGACTAAGCTTTTGATGGGTTATTATAACTGCTCTTTGTCAATTGTTGCTTTAACCATGCTATCAAATATCTGCCATTTATTGGTGAACATGTTGATATCATTTTCTTGACACAATATAAATATTTTGGAATATTCAAAGTGGCTCTGGACCCCATGTACAGAATGTTTTACCGTCGACTTTGCCAAAAGTTGCGTCTTATTTTGTTAATTAAAATTCGATGATAAAAAATGGGTTTCATCTAGCCGTTTTTGAATTATAAGCACTAAGAACTAAAATTAAGGGTGTTAGCAGAATATACTGTTGCTATGGTAACGTATTGTGTCACGAAAAAGATACCAACGTGTTAACCATTGAATAAGAGTTTTTTGATTCCATGACAGCAACAGCAACATTTACTTATACCAAAAAAAGGAAAAAAGAAAACAATAATTTCGAAGCTTACAAATTAGGCATTAGCTGCCTATAAGAGCCATAGGGTTACAAAAATAAGCAGCTATCTATAGGATACAATAAAAATTACCGTCATATGTGTTAAATATAAAGCAAAAGTAACTTAATAAATTGAGATATAAACATATACAACAAAGTTAAAAGCTAATATTACAACAAGGCATGATTGTAGCATCAACTGATAAAGAGCGGTCGTAAAGGCCATCAAATCCATTTAAGTCTTGAAAAGTGCTGGAAACAGTTTGGAGCCACCTTAAGTAGTGGGAACACAAACAAACTCAACATGTGACTTCTTGTCATCTTTTTAATCAGGGCCTTTGCACTGCCTGGATTGCGATGCGGAGTGGGGTGTGATGCTGAAGTATCAGTCCAAGGAAATGCCTTGTATCAAAGCTTCCTGCTTTGGATTTGAGTTTGAGAATGAGGCTGGCGTGAAAACGACACTCTCCTTCAAGAAGTGGAAAGATGTGCGAATGAATGTTGAAAGCTTCGAGCACTGCCAAACACAAGTTTTAGATTGTTTCTTGGACTTAGCTGAGCTGTGCTTAGATTAGTTATCTGCGGTCTGTAGTTATTTAGCTAGCAGCAATGACAATTATTATTGCAATATACAAATATAAACAAAGCAAGATAGGCTGACGCAGCGTTGTGTGCGCACATGCACCAAGAGGATTTAAAGTAAGGTAGAAATAACAGCCGCGTAATTGATGTCGGCAATAAAAGTTTAGTTTACGTACAATTATTAAAGTTTGCTCAGAAGGGAGGGGGCGTCTCTAAGCAAGACATTGGTCGAGTCATCACTGCCAGTGTGCATGGGAATTAGTGTGGCCTCTCACTACTTAACTAATAGCCTTATCTTGGTGCCTTGTGTAGTCAATCACTGCACAGGACTTGATTCATCTTGCTCGTTCGTGGAGCTAGCCATGTAATAACAAGAGGAAAAATATGTATTACCAGACGTAAACGTATTGTGTGAACCGCGTCAGAATTACAACACGAGAACCAAAGGGCACATACCTAAAAATAAATTCTTTCTCTGAAATTAAGTAGCATTTGCGTTCGGATTCCTACAGGTAATAGTTATCTATTGTCAAGACCAGGTTGCAGGACATGCTATTTTGATAAACTTAAAACATTTTGGTAAGGATCGTTAGAATCAATAGTTACGGACAGTTGATATAGTCACATAGAAATGAGGAACGACAACAAAATGGCATTTGTTAAAAGGTCCTTGCTGCAAGGGTGCAACAATGTATTTAAAAAACCAGAACTTTGAACTTTATGCAAATGTAAAAAATAATCTTTAATGTAAAAATAAAATGTGTGGCTGAAGATCATTAAAATGGAACAAGTCTTTACTTGTTTTCGGCTATTCATGTTCATTTCTCAGCTTCAAATTATAACCGAGCCAATTTCTGTCAAGTTTGATTTTTTCTTCTTGATGGTATACATGGGTATACAGGGGTATACAAGGGGTATACAAGGGTATAACGAGGTATACAGGGGTATACAAGAGTATACAAGGGTATTCAACGGTATACAGGCGTATACAAGGGTATAGAGGGGTATATAGTGGTATGCAAGGGTATGCAGGGGTATACAAGGGTATACAGGGGTATACAACGGTATACAGGGGTATACAAGGGTATAGAGGGGTATATAGGGGTATACAAGGGTATGCATGGGTATACAAGGGTAAACAAGGGTATACGGGGCTATAAGATGTTGGGATGTTGAGGTTCGTGATTTACGAATTCTTCGAGTGTTCTTCCAACATCTCAAATGGTTTATCATGCCTCTAAACCATAAAAACTTGTGGTCTATTGCTTTCATATAATAATTCAGAAGACGCGCGAAATTTCCATGAGTTTACTGGCAAAATAAACCATAGCTGATTGACCAATCAGAGCTCACGCATTCATTTAATTATTATATAAAAGGGTATACAAGGGTATACAAGAATATACAGGGGTAAATAAGAATATACAAGGGTATACATGGGTATACAAGAGTATACAGTCATATACAAGGGTTTACAGGGGTATACAAGGGTATACAGGGGTATACAAGGGTTTACAGGGGTATACAAGGGTATACAGGGGTATACAAGGGTATGCAGGGGTATACAAGGGCATACAGGGGTATACAGAGGTATGCAGTAATTACAAGGGTATACAGGGGTATACAGGGGTATACAAGGGTATACAGCCGTATACAGTCATATACAAGGGTTTACAGAGGCGTACAAGTGTATACAAGGGTATGCAGGGGTATATAAGGGTATACAAGGGTATACAAGGGTATACAAAGGTATAAAGGGGTATGCAGGGGTATACAGGGGTATGCTAGTGTATGCAGGGGTATACATGGGTATACAAGGGTAAAAAGAGGTATGCAGGGGTATACATGGGTATACAAGGGTAAAATGAGGTATACAGGGGTAAAATGAGGTATGCAGGGGTATACAAGGGTATACAAGGGTATGCAGGGGTATATAGGGGTATACAAGAGTATACAGGGGTATACAAGGGTATACAACGGAATACAGGGGTATACAAGGGTATACAAGGGTATACAGGGGTATGCAGAGGTATGCAGGGATTTACGAGGGTATACAGGGGTATACAAGGGTATACAAGGGTATACAGGGGGTATACAAGGGTATACAAAGGTATACAGGGTATACAGTCACATACAAGGGTTTAGAGGGGTATAAAAGGGTATACAGTGGTATAGAAGGATTTACAGGGGTATACAAGGGTATAGAGGGGTATACATGGGGTATAAAAGGGTATACAGGGGTATATAGGGGTGTACAAGGGTATACAAGGGTATACAGGGGTATATAGGGGTATACAAGAGTATACAAGGGTATACAAGGGTATACAAGGGTCTACAGCGGTACACAAGGATATGCAAGGGTATACAGGGGTTTACAGAGGTATGCAATTGTATACAAGGGTATAAAAAGAGGTTTACCGGGGTATACTAGGGCTACAGCCATATTCTCGGGATATTATACGTAATCTTACATAACGTACTAACCAGGAAATGAAAGCGAATCGAGGTAGAGAGGACTTGGGTTTTGTACAGGAGGCGTACAGGAGAGGTTTAGATATGTTACGAGACTCTGGGAGCTCGCAGTGTCGGCACGTTGCTGAAGAAAGACTCGGAGTTGACGTGTGTTTGACGGAGGAGAATCTAGAGTCAGCTCCAGAATGTCCACACGGTAAGAAATGTTGACCATGTGTAACAATATGACAGGTAAAAGACCTTTTTAACTCTTTGTTGGGAGGCAAACGCATCAAAGTTACAGTACGTGTATGAAGAAAGTTTGGAACCTATAATATCCAACTATTCACGTAGTCGTTGAATTAAGACAGCGCTGATTAAGGTCATTCCACTGAAATAGAACCTGCACTGAGATTTTTGTCAAACTTTGCCTATTGATTGTTCATANTTACTTTTTGTTCTACACTGAGAATTGGTCCATATTTATTTTACACAGAGAAATTTATTACTCAATTCAAAACAAAAGAAAAAAATGATAGGTCACCATACTCGTTTGCGAGAAAATGACTATTTACCTCTATGGCGAGATCCAGCTGTAAAGAAAAAGCCGCCATTTTTTAATGCGGCGAGCTAATCACGCGTGAAATTATCGCAGTAGGGATGCGCAATGCATTACTGGGGTATGACCTTAAGGTTGCTGTAGACCTTGAGGGTACCTCCCGGAAAATGCTTTCTTTGCAAGGTCACTCCAAAAAGCTTCCTTTTTTTTGTCTTCGCCTATAGCAAGTAAAAATTCAGGTTTTCCACCCACCGAAGTTTAAGCGTTTGAAGTGCCCGCTATCCTGACAAAATTCGTCTTGCAAGAAGCGACTTTGGAGGCCGCCATTTTGAAACTGTCTTAGCAGCCAGGCCGTGTTTATGCGACGTCACTCAGTCCCACTCGAAATTGGCAGGAAGGCGAAAAACCTGCAACTGACTTGGCATCCTTCACACAGGTCAGCATCTATTTTTTCTGAGTGATTATCCGCTTCACTATCTTCAATGCTTTCATTTTGGAGTTTGGAACATGTTTGGCCCAAAGTAATATGGCTCAAGAGCAGCCATAACCCAGAGTGGTAGTTAAAAGGCTCGTTGGAAACCATTTGGATAAAATCTTTCAGAAGGAATGACATCACAAAAACGCGGCCTGGCTGCTGAGTACTGTTCAAAATCTGGCGGCAAGTTTGTTTGAATTTTGGGCTTCTTTGGAAATGAATTTCACAAGGAAAATCTCCACTTTAGAGGCTGAAACTTCGATGAGTGGCTAAACTTAGGGCAAGGTTTTTATTAGTGTTGACAAGAAATATATGTTTTTTGGAGTGACCTTCTCCTTTAAAGATGATTTCTAGTCCGTATTGCGCAGTCTCAGCACCCTAATTTTATAAACATAAACTAGTAGTTATCAAAGATTAGAACAGTACTTTCATGTGCGTACTTTACATGTTTGGTCTAGTTTGGTGGCATAGAAAACTAAATTTGATCAAATGACAGATAACAATCTCAATGTGAGGTAGTACCATCTGTGGTACAAGTGCTTTTAATTAATTAAGTATTAACTTGTGCTGGACAAAATATCTTCCTGGAAAGACTTTTGAACTGTTGGCGATACTTAGAATTCAATTTCAGATCTCAGATCACCAACATTTGTAACAAATATTTCTTCAGAAATAAAGGTTTGTCCAGTGACCCTGCACGACAGTGCGCCGCCCAATTTTTTGTTAAATTTTGTGTTTGTAGTTGTTTACATTGCTCGAATTTACATCTTAATTTGTTCAGTTTCACTAATGAAAAGGTGATTTAACCATTATGACCACAAAACATGGCCTTTTGGCGAGTTACACAACACGGAAAGTTTGTTTTCTGACAGCTAATTATGGCCACAACAAAATTTGCTGAGTTACAAATCAGAAAATTTATTTTCTGACCACAGATCTGAGGGACATCACGGCCATTTACTGAACTACATAGAAGATTTGTTTTCTTACCACAACTCATGGCCATTTGCTGTCACCAAGCTACAAAGCATTCTTTCCTGATGATGCAGGCTTTAATTACCTGTTGTCAAAGGGTAGTGGGTCAAAATACATGCAGCTTTACAGACATCATACACACTTCGAATGTCGAATCTGTGACTGCGTGTAGTGCTCATGATGTAGGGGGGGGGGGGNCAAATTGGCAAATAAATCCGTAGGAAAAATTAATAATAGTAATGATAATAATAATGATAATGATAATAATAATAATAATAATAATAATATTTATAATAAAATAAAATGTTCAAATGCGCATGGCAAGATTAAAAATGGAATAAAAAGGCTAAAAAGCTAAAATTACGATTAAAAGTAATTAACTTACAATGATGTTAAGATCATTCCACTGAAATAGAACCTGCACTGACATTTTTGTGAAACTTTGCCTATTGATTGTTTATATTATAGGAACTTAAATTTTGAAATAAAAA